ATTAGCATGTTCAGGGTTACACTGAGCCAAGAACAGAATCAGGTCCACACTATTTCCTTGTGGCTCTGTCCACAGCACTCTCATGGCTCCTATTTTTGTGATAACTGAGAACTGTACCATCTTGTAATATATGCATTGTCACAAAAGCTCTGTAATTGGGAACAGAAGTGAATGAGTGAATTAGGTCTGAGATCCACAAAGGTCATTCCCAAGGAAATGCCTTTGTGGATCTGACCCAAAATGATTTGTCCAAGAGGTCATGTAAAAATATGGAGTGGAGCAGGAAACTGAACTGCAGGAATCCAAAATCCCAAGTATGTACCCAAATCATGAAGCCTTTCTGCTGAGAGAGGGTTTTGGTTATTTGTTTGTTGTTTTGCCAGACTCTAGGTATCTTACAAACTTCCTTCTCTCCCCTATTCAAGCAATACAACACAGCTGACAGACCTGGAAAAACAAAACATTTGGTAGTAATATGGGAGAAGCAGAATTCAGAATTGATTTAAATATGTTAAAGATGACAAATCCCATGTCAAATTTAATATTCCTGCCAATTTCCTTATGAGGGAAATGGAATGATTCAAATGGTCTCTAAAACCACAGCATCCTTTCCCATCATCACTAGAAAATCTATATTATTTTATAGAATATAAGAAGCAGCTTTAAAAGTATACATAAAATGTGACTCAGTACAATCTGCCTAGGGAAAAGATGCAGCAGTGTCACTGTTAAACAGGCTTATCTTTGTGATATAATGATACAGTTTACTTAGCAACATTGTTCCTAATTAGCATTTGCCTTGTGTTTATGAAATCAATGGGAGCTGCAGGAATCCATTTTTCCTTTAGGAACCTAAATATGAGTTTAGAAGACCAGGATATAAAAAAAGAAAATAAATAAATAAATACTGTTAGGCTACCAGGATTGGGAATTTTCCCCTGAGGAAATAAAAGGAAGGAATATAATCTAGTATTTTTTATAAATAGACTATTATGTTACATTCCTTCTTGTGTGGCTGCATATTCATTCTTCCCTTGGTGTACATCTCATGCCATGCTTTCATACATGCTGTTGACTTTGGGTGCAAACAAGCATTCACAGGACTCGGTTTACTTTACTGTGTGGGCAACCCAAAGTAAGTAACTTGGGGAAGGGGGCAGAGGGACTGGTGGGTCCATGAGGAGTGGGTAGTTTTGGGACTAAAAGTAGTTCAGTCAGGGTTGGGGATTTGGGATTAGGAAAAGTGTAGCCCTGGGGCTGTGGCAAATGGGCTTCCCATCCTTGGAGCTGTGCTGTGAACATGTTCACCCAAAGAACCTTGTCTACGAACATGTTCAGGCATCCATGAGGCTGGGATAACCCATTTCAGATCAGGTTAGCCCCATGAGGTGAACTAACTTTAGATAGGGCATGCCATTTTTCAGTGACCTAAACCCTAAAAACGCCTGCATGCCTGGCCATTTAAATCAACCCAACCTTGGTTAGGCTGATCTAGATGTAATGCCTGTATATAACCTTAGAAGATGACAAAAATTGTAGACCTAGACATTTACAAAAAAACCCAGGCTTTCAGTAGTGTTTGGTCATTTTCTACATTAAAGAGATAGAAAAACATAGAATGATAAAGTTACAGGTCTTACCTAGGCTACAAGACCTGATAAATAGCAGTTTTAGACCCAAACATTTTGCACAATACAGAGAGTACAATAATAACTTGGGCCAAACCTAAATCAGGGAATTTGGTATTATTCTCCATCACCTACATTGATTCAAAATCAGTTTGGGGATTTTAAGTATTTTTGTTTGCTTGCAATTACCCATTGGCCCAGTGATTACAAGTGGGACTTGAGCATTGACAGGAGCAGAAAAACTACTAATAGATTTTTTTTTTGCTTTATTTGGTAGATGAAACAGGAGCATCTAGAGAAAACTAGGCAGTGAGAAACTAAAGGGAATAGCTGATTTGTTTGACAATTATACTTTCCCCCTAGGAGTCCAATCCTGAAAACACTTAAGCTCAGGTGTACGGCCTGAATCACAGCCCTTTCCAATCAAAAAAAAAAAAGACTCCCACTGACTTCAATAAGCTTTAGAGCAGTCCCTTTGTGCTTACGGCAGCAGGTGGGTCCATTTATTTCAATGTAACTACTTACGCTAGTAAGCATTAGTCCCTGCAGTAGGCATTTCCCACATGTCTTATATTTGATTTATTTCAGAGACTAAGTTATTACAAATTGCCAGGCTGGGCACAACAGTTCCAGTAAATAACATTTTCCTCAGAAATAAGTAAAACAAAAAAACATGAAAAACTTGGACAGCAAAACCTGGTGGAGGTTTTTTATTGAGGGAGGTGGGGAGTCTTTTCTATTTCAATATATATGAACAATAATCCAACAAAGTCTGCTCATCCCTGATGCCATTTACTTCTTGGCAAAGAGATATTCAAAGTTAGTCCATGCCATGAAATTCTGGAGGTCTGTCTGCCTAGGAGCTCATGGATGAATCAACTGGACCTGAATGAAGGCTTCCTCTTCCCTTGCATGCTGGGAAGTTTGGCTCCATGCCATATTTGAATAGGCAAGTACAGAGCAAAGACCGAGAGGCGCTTGAGGAAGGAAATAACTAAATCTGCTCTCACAGAAATCTAGCAGCCGAAAA